ATAAGAGGCAATTCTAGACCAGCAGTCATCTCGAATGATGGTTACGCTCAATAACTTCAGTAGAACGAACGGTTTTGTCTACCTATTCAAATCTTTCGGTTCAATAACGGTGTGATTCCAGGTGTGAAGACTGAAGTGTGAAGCGAACCCACAGTTTGTGCTCCTAATATTAACTCGGAATACCGAAGTCGATAAAGCTGGTTCCGCCATTTGCGTTATCAGTACCGACTTGGGCTCATTTCAAAGTGGCGAGTACGCAAAATTGAAATGGTTTCCATATAGACCTTTTTTTGTTACTTTCCGCAGTGTTAGAGGTATCGTCACATTATTGTTTTTATTGTCTATTTTCTCCTGTCGGTTTTTTCCGTGTGATAAAATGAATGATCGCCTTCACACTTTATTTGGGTTCAGGAGACGTTTTACGGTAGCTGGATTGCGGCGCCACTGTGGTGGTGAATAGGCGGGACATCCGGGTCAAGGCACCGGGCTCGAATTTTGCTGAGGTCTGGTAATTTAAATTTTTTTATTCCGTTGTAGATATTGGTTGGCTCGGTTATCAGCCAAGAAAATTATTTAGATAATATTATACATTGCTATTACATTGTGTATTTAGATTACGTCACGGCTCAGACAACAAGGCCATCTTCTGGATAGCGAGACGCTTTTGCTGTTGCAGGCAACCGAATGTATTGTATTCATATAGGAAGTGTGGCGACTACCGTATCTTTAGTAGGATTCCGTAGTCGAATCGAGGTCGATTTTCGATTAAAAGCTTCATTGCGTAGCCCATTTACAATGCTAACGAAAAACCAATGCTTCGTGTGGACACTTCGCACGTCTAATACGGAGCGCCTTGATTCACCTTGAAACGTCCAGAGACATCGAGGATCGCTCCAAAAGAAAACGCAAAAAAAAACCAAAAAGGGAACAATGTTTTGATTTCGGCGATTGGTATACACCTGGATGGTGGTTTATTCGCAGTGTGGCTGTATCCTTAAATCGTTCCACGTATTTAGTATCTCAGCCGATTGTCCACTTGTTATTGAAAGTACTTCTTCGGTCGTCGGTCGATTTCTTACGCAAAATCCTAAATTCCGCCTATCATCTGCGGCACAATGTCCGCAAAAAGGACATGAAGTGTGCTAAAAATCGTATACGCTGACCCCTAAGCTCTACCGTCTTACCTTACCATTTTGGACAGCGCATTTTGTTTCACGAAGTCTATAAAGATGTATTCGTGTGCGGCCACTATGAGCTCGAGCTCTCTTTCGTTGATTAAGGTACGATATTTAACACAAGAGCCACGTCCGTTATTTCTCCGATTGCCAGTATCACCTAACTAATTGCTCTCAAGGCCCAGCTGGTCGCGTAGGCTATTGTTTAGAGGCTAGCCAGCACAAGGTTATAGCAAGCGCCCGTGCATATCGCCGCACACCACGACATTGTAATGGCGAAACGCAGGATCGCCACTCTGACGATTAGGCTGACGCAGACTGAACTCGTGGAATTCCTGGCTACCGTTTTTGGAATCGATAGTAACCATCGAAAGCAGTTATGAACAGTGTATACAAACTCTCAAAAAAAAAAAAAAAAAAAAACCCACTGGAACGCTTAGTGATACTGCAGAAATCAATCTTTGCTTGTATAACGGCACATCGGGCCTAGATTCGGTATCGATTGATCTAAAACGAATATCTGATTAGTAAAGATTACAGGCACGTTGTGCAAGAAAACCCGCCTTATTCTAACTGCTCTGAAGCTTGAACTGGCTTTCGTTGTATAAATCGAACATTATGAAGCCTATTTCTGTTTCAATTTTCCAAACAAACTGAAATCAATAGGAAATCAATGGAAAATAGATCAACACGAATATAAAATAAATTTCGATTTTATTGATCTGATAGATAATTGCTTGTCGACTATAATTTCAGCCGCGAAGGACAAGTACGTTTATTAGTTGGCTGAGATGTTTCCCATTTTTACAACGACCGAACCATTTATTGCAGCAGAAATGACTGGAATATAGCGATATAGATCGTGAACAAAGCTATGCAAGTTTAACTGACTATAAAAGCGTGTTTTATAGAAAAAGAAAGTAGTAAAAGTGGAAGCCAGCAAAAGTATGAGTGGGTCAGAAGCTCAGACAAACCATAACCTATTTTGGGTTTACTCGCATTGTTATCTTCCATCTATCTAATGTGTGCCTTTTTCGTTTCTGGAAACCTTAATCTTGGAGTTACAATTATTGCTATTTAAACTACAAAACTGAATTGTTAATTCAAATCGAAGACACACAGATATTCTAGAATACAGATACAAGTCTTGCTCATACGTATGAGCCAAAATTACCAACACGAATTAGTGAGCCACATTGTTAAAAATTGCCCTTGTTTTACAGTTAATAAAATAAAAGATATATATATATTAAGAGTACCTCAAATACTCGACTGCTTCTGTGTACAATATGTTGTCTCGAAAAATAATATTAATGAGGTACCTGCAAAATCGGAAACTGGATTTAGAGATTTTTCTGATATAACTAATACAAACATACATATTGTTATTAACAAAGGTTATTCTCGATAGTTTTTACTAAGACAAGAATTGAATAAAAATTTGATAGCCATCTTACTGAAGTCATTACTTAGTATAGATAAATTACAGGTTCATGCAACAACGTTTGGCTACAACGGAAAAGTCGACCACTTCTCTCCGTGCAGGTTTGGTTAAGCTATAACTAAGCTACGATGGTGTGTTAAATGAGAATAGATGAAAAAAAAAAAAACTAAAATGCAAAAATCTAGACATCGTAAGCCATCCCTGGCTTTTTATTTCTGCCCTTCTGTTTTGCTCACCTCGCATGATCGCTTGCTCGAAAAAATGTTTAATGCAATAAATTTTTCGATGTTCTCTAATAAGATACAGTACTTCCAAATCTATCTGTAAAAAATGCTTATTCTTGCCCAAAAACTTAACAGTATATAATAATAATAATAATAATACGCCATCAAGACAGTATATGTTCCATATGAGAATATTTGGCAGTTTCTGCGCGTGTGGAGAAAATCGATATTTTTAGTCTGCGTGTTAGATTCTAATACTGTTATTACAGATCCTTCTCTAGTATCTGAATACGTCATGGCCACACGAACGTACTGGATATAAAATACACGAAATGTATACGTTTAATGTTACATACTCATTATAGATCAGAGCATAGGCGCTTTTTTTAGCAACATACATTTCCAAGACAAGCCAGTATTGTTGTGTATAACAACAAGTATTGTCAAAAATAAAAATGAGCGTTAACATATTACTTCATCCAGATTACAGTTTTAGGAATTCCACTTGTTACAGCCCGGGCTCAAATTTTTGCATGGCGAAAAGCAGACTGGTTTTTCTAGACATTGACCCCATTAAGGACGGATAGTCACAAACTATTTATAGTTGCCACGTGCGGTTTGCCTGCTAGAGTATTAACTACGAGATCGATCAGAGAGAACACTCGAACTGAGGTGTGTGAGCAATACCGCATTGCGTGACGAATAGTTTTTCTATTCTTTCCTATGCGACAGTTGCGATGTTCATTACTTTCGTTTTCGATCTCATAATCCCTTCACATTGGCCGAAGAAAAACTGTGACGAAGAATGACCACTTTATTCTATAACAAATGTTTCTTTCTATGTTTTCTTAGCCTACCATTTGCAGTTGTGTGCTCTGTTACCAATACATTTTGCAGATACGCTTTGTATTGGATACGCGCGCCAAACCAGACGTTCGTACCGAAGTGACTATTGCGAAACAGAGTAATCCTCTAGAAGAAACTTCCCAAATCCTACCAGTTTATGCTACTTAATAAATCAAATGCTGACACAGCTTAAAGCAGCATTTCCCAGAATTGCCATTTGGATATTTGGCTTGAGTCACTTCAAACAAGCTGGATACAAATTAAAATAAAAAGAAGTTTATATCATTTTAATCTCGACTCAATTGTATGAGCAAACTGTATGCTCTATTAATTTCTGTTGTTCTATAGAAAATATTCATAACGTCACAAAATGTATAAGAAATTCGAATTTTTACGCGTAAATCATAGTTTAGACCAGTAAAGCACTGGGTAATGGGATCGATGTACCATAGATAGTGTATCTGCGCCAGCTTGGGAATTAGTTGAATAGCATTATGTCTAACTACCGCCCCTTGCAAGCTTGAGCTTCTTATTAATAGTATTACAATGTGTAGATTTTTTTTTTTAAAGACCTATATTTCCTTCAATAAATCTACAAATATTGAAACATCGTTTGCATCGAGTAACTCTACATCCGTTAAGTTTTATTTCAATGTATTACAGAATAAAAATTGTCTCGACGAAGATGGGATTCGAACCCACGCGGGCAGAGCCCATTGGATTAGCAGTCCAACGCCTTAACCACTCGGCCACCTCGTCGCTCGAACTATTATCGATAGTAATTTTCATTTAGGGACCAAGTTTGACATGCAACAACACAAAGGGCATCGTCTTAACAATTAGATCTTTACTTTTCATACCGATAGCGACAACCCGAACGCCTCGAAGACGTAGTTGGGTGGCCTGGGACGGCTGGTTATAGATAAATTGTACATGCATACATGATAGTAATCGAAAAGTTTTCGGTTCGGCGCTCTTCGAGAATACAACTTTTTCATAGGGCAAAGTTCCGTGTAGGCACAGCACAATGCTTCGTTAAAGTTTTAAGACATTTTGTTCTAGCTAGTCGCTTTCTCCTGTCTTTATGTGGCAAGAAATTTACATTGTTTTTTAGGTGGTTGCCACGACAAGCTAGCATGATCTAATTAGATTGCCTAGGAGCAAAAAAGATATTTAGAAAGCAATGGGTTGGACATCTTCTGTTGGATAGCTTCGTTTCATCGATGTACCTCGAGCATGTACAGCATTTTCTGGATGGTTCTGTTTATCTTAACCACTTCTAATGCATTGAACTTTCTGTTTTTTTTCCAGATGAGGATATGGCTCAATTCTCGACCCAGAGGTGGCCATTTGTTTATTTGGCCCGTGTCAACGTAGAGACACTTATCTTCAGTCGCTCATAACCAATTTGCATGAAAATCTATCAGTGTGCCTGCGTCCCGCAAGCACTGCTAAGCACCGCGATAATAATTGTCGGTGCTTCCTCGTGCTCTTCTCTCACATTCGGAGACGTTTCCAGATCCTCCGTTCTACATTTTGAATTGAATACCGTATACTGAAGATGATTATCGATAGCCGAATGTGCATAGTTCATCTTCTCGACCAACTATTTAACAGGCTGTTTGTTACTCATGGTTTTCATCGTCTTCGGATGGCCACACGAAATAAAGCACATCCTCAAGTTAAGCTGAATTTTTGAATTTAGCAAACTATTTTTAAACCATATTTATCCGGTTTGGGTTAAATTTGGGTTGACGACCTGAAAAGATTCGTAGCCTAATCAGGCTATTGGGTACAGCTATTGGAACAAATGTTTTTTTTCTCATTTCTTATTCAACTTCAGTTGAGGTTTTAGTTAATTGAAAGACTTTGAGAATTGTGCTTACCGCCATCGATAACTTAAATTGAGTAAATTACAGCGTACAGATATATGCTCAAGCCTATAGATGGTTTTGCCGTAACGTACAAAAATTGTGTATTTCGTAAGCGCATTCTGTGGCTCTGACATTTCGCCCAGACGTCGATGTTTCTTCTTCTTCGGTCAAATACCCAAATATATATATATATATATATATATTACTGTGCATCGATTTGGCGCAAGCGACAGACACCTTCGAACATTTCGAAACGTTCTGAACGAGTATCACAGTTCTTTTGGTGCTATACGTGATCACGTTTTATCACCACGAACAAGAAGCTTGACGGCGGTAAAAGTGGATGAATCGATTTTTTACACCGGTCTTCTCGCTTAGTTGTCTTGCATTAATGTTTTTGTGAGAGGTTTGTCGTAACATTTCATTCATTAACAAATTCCACTCAAACTCTAACTAGATACACCCATTCGAAGCGCCCGTGTTGTGAAGCACTAGCGGCAGTTCGCAAAAAAAAAGACGAAACTGAGGACGAAAGCCGGTGGCTGTGCTGACGTCTGCTGGCTGGCCCGAGCGCCCGTCAAGGCACACTGCAGGCAGCGGGCGCTATCGTTTCGCTGACGAACGGCTTTACCATTAAATTTCGCAACTGTTATTTAGTACCTGTTTGACGAGTAGTGTTTAACGACGACGAACGACTCGATACCGGGCATCAGCATCGGAGCACGAACGTGTTGAGATGTCTACTCGTTGGCGGCAAATCGAATAAATAGCAATAGTGGAAATGGAGCCAAAAATCGAGGTTAACATTTTCACATTTGTGTCCCGTTCGTGAACGCAGCGAAAGGGTTCAGTGAAAGTATACGGCTGAAAAATTACTTTTAAAAATGATCGTTTCTTCGCCAGTTCTGAGTTGATAAACGGAGCTAGTTACTTTTCGGATCATCTTTTTTTGGCAGATTTTTTTACGTATCGTATAGAGAAATGTAGAGTCCGATTGTGGTACAAATTGCAGCGATATGAAACATCTAAGCGTTTTATGTACTAACAGAAGTAACTGTGGTGATATCAGTGAGTCTATACCAATGAATGTGATGCAGTGATTGCTTGGTGACATTGTGAAGTTTACGATACGGGCTCAGGGTTTCATGTGAATTATACATAATCATGGTGGACTTTAGATCCTTTGAAAAGCGGCAGGTTACAAAACGTCTACGGTTTGGAAGAGGATGCCTACTATCAGCAACGTTCAAAACTCTACGGTACGTGTTTGTTGAAAGACCTAGAGCCCCTATAAGAGTAACGTTGAGTTTGGGGAAAGTCGAAATAGGCACATATATATTTAGAGAGTAAAGAAAGGCTTGTCTCGACGGGCCATGTACATCTCTTTTTACACTGCGAAAAAACAAAGATAAATTAAATATTATGCAATTATAGTGCACGAAAACCTGTTCATTACGTGAACGTTAGACTTTAACAAGTGCACCGGAAGTTTGTGAGCAGCTTTATCTATCGACAAAAAATGTTCGATACTTTGATCGCCTATGAGCTTCTCCAAATTTAACTTGAACATTAAGTTTGAAGCGGAATGTTTATGCAACATTCTACATTTTATTTCGCCATGTGCTAAGCACACATTACTGATATGACGCATAAAAGTGCTACTCATAAGTCAAGTCGATTTTAGGGAATCGTTAGATGCATATGACTCATGCCCAAAACATTGAAAATCTACCCCTTAGAGTGACTGCCATCGAAGAGGCCTAACGTTATCAAACCACTCGGTATAATTAGAATATCCCGAATGCACCATCGTCGTGGGCCAATACTGTTTTAGTCTTTTTCATTGTCTGTTTCATTTGAAATCGTAACCTGTGCCCGTTGTCTATCCATTTAGCAAAGCAAAGAAGGCCTTAATTACTCCTAATCCAATATAATACAGTAGAGATCCACTTGGCTTACACTTCCAGAACACTTTCCGCTGGGAATTACGTTAAGTTCAATGAACACCACTTTCGATTATTTTAGGGGTTATGGTTAGCTATTTCTCGACTAGCACACAGACAGACTTTTCTATAAGTTACTTACTGACGATCGGACACGTCGTCATTTTGTGTTATTGCTCATTTTGGCACAAGTACAACAATATCTAGCAAAGAAAACCGGGCGAAATCGAATTTCTGAGCGGAACAATGAGCGGCTTAATCGAGAACATCGACTGAAAGAAACGAGAAAAGTCCTAATCACTGAACACGCCCAGAGAATTCGGTGGTTAGTACAAATAAATGTAAAGGTTTTACTTTATAGAAAAGGCGCTGCTGTGACTTGCGCGCGATCCATTCTTAGCTTGCCCGTCTCGATGCCAACGTCTCCTATGGGCTTGCTAAATGGAGGCAATTCCTTGTAAAAAAGCTCAAATGCAGGGTCCAAACGCGGCAGCTGAAGGGATCGTAAGATGCTATTTCAAGCTGACCTAGTAGAAGGCTTTGCTGCCGCGACACGGTATGGAGGGTTGTCTGTAGACTCCGCGATAGGCCAGGAGGCCAACAAAGGGCCCCTCGTTGCATGCAAGGACGTCAAGACTTGCGACAGTGGTGGAATGTACGGACGAGCTTTCAAGCGATAATGTTCAGTAGGTATGGCTGATGTGGTCGCAATACGTCGAACGATACCAAATAACAGCAATTGTTGCCGGCCCACTGCTAGCCGTATTCCGACCCATAATGAGCTTGCCTTTAGTTGGTTACAGAAGACTGGAAATTTCCACTTGAGAAAACCGGAAAAGATCTGTTATATAGTTAGCTAATTTTTTATACCGATCAGAAACATACTTGGAACTTTTAATTTGTTCTTATTATAAGTCAGACGGTTTTGTTATCACCTTCCATATTGCGCAACCGGCAACGTCAATATTGTTTATGTATGAATGGTTATTGGGCAACAAAAACGTTACCTATCTCAAATGATTGCTATTGATGTAGTAGCCAAACGACGCAACCAGCTCACCTTTGAATATAATTATTAGTTCCAAAATCACTCGACTGTATCTATTGCGGACGGCGCCTTATTTTTGTTCCCATGAGGGTGCACTAACACATGCGTACATTTGTTGGCCCCTCACAACGCCTTCACGATTTCGCCTAGCATTGTCACTCATCTACAACGGCGTTTGTATCAACTACGTCGTCTCGTCTTAGCCAAGTCAAAGTCATGAAGGTTTATCGATAGTGACGTGAAGCTTTCATAAGCACTTGGCGGTGCTGTTACGCCTGCGCTTATTTTATGGTACCTCAGTAGCTGAAAATGTTCGAGACGCATAAACGACAAATGTATAAGCTACGAAAACGTTGCTTTTGTTGGTGTAATTCGAATGACGACCATCATAACCGGTTGTTCTAGTCGTTTCATCGGCCCATTGGATCACCGTGCGGAAAAGTCACAGTTTTGTAAAACGGCATATATGATTCGATGTCAGTGGTCACTGGGTACGCCGTAAACATGAACATTGAATTAAACATTATGCGCAGCGAAGACGACTAAATGTCGCTAATAAAGTATACCAACGGCATTTACGGAAAATTCGAATCGCATCCACGTTTCTCACTCGTGTACGAAATGCATCATAGTGTCTTCAGGGTTATCATTATGCGCTCCTATGAAAGACGTCCGTCTCTAGATTTGTAAGAGTGCTACAACGTGTGTGCCTTATAGGTACCTAAATTCAACCTGGCGGTGGGCCAAAACCGATGAATTAACTTAAACAAACAGGCCAACTGGCCCAGTAATTTAGAGAAATGCTGAGCTTATGCCCCCCATGCCCAGAGGACCTTCCATTTTGAAAACTCAGAGACCCAACTTTCGACCTAGAAAACCTGAACTGTGTACATAAATTTGTCACGTCGTTTTGCCTTTTGTTTAATTGCCTTTGAGCTAAGTAGAAGTGTTGACGTTTGTTCGATGAAATTAGTGTGTTAATTTGCTTTTTTTCGTATTTAGATGTAAACCTAATGAAGTGTTTTTTGTAGTGGACATGTCTTTAGGTAAGGTGTAGGAAGATCTTAGGCAGAGACTGTAGATGGTAGAGGATCGAATAATCATTTGCCGCTTACCTCACCGGAATTTTAGATTAATTCTGTGATTGATTAATTGAAGAAGAAAAAAAGCCCACACGCTATAGTACTAGATACACAGTGGATAGATTTATTTATTAAATAACATGCCTTTTACTTTCTGTAAAAGACACGAGCACACGGGCATCCCTGCTAAATAAGTACCTTTAATTTACAAGCCTAGCTAGTAGATCACAGTTTTGGATAGTAATCGTTGACCTTAGCTCTGAATGCAACGAAGGTGTAGGACTTTCTAATTAATTATTTGGAACTGTTTCGCGCATTTGCAATTGCCTCCTTTAAGTTGCTATTGGAAGAACGCACTTTGAAGTTGAGGGGTTACAGTCTCGCATTCTATTATGGCTCAGCGTTTACTAGATCTAGGGTGGAGAGTCTATTGAATCATAGTAACAGTCAGTAGATTCGCAGACGACCTTGTCTATTACTAGCTGATATTTAAGCAGAATGGGGACGTGGAGAATTTCTTCTAAGAGCAAGCCTTCGAAATTAATCTTGGTTAACGAAGGCCAAACGTAACTCGATTGCATCATATCGAACGAAGTGGAACTTGTTAATAACTTTTTTGTGGTTCCCCTCCACACTGAAATAGAATAACAATGAAAGCGCGACAGATAAAGGTATGCCTAAGATAGAATAAGCACGTGAATGTCTTAATTCAAACCTATTCATTTAATTTTTTTGGAGCTGCGGTTCTAATAAACTCTAGCTTAAATTAAACTTTTGTTTGAATCAAAAAAGCTAAGCTCAATTAAGATTCATCTTGACGTTGCGGATACCTTCTTTCGCGATCCTCAAGCTAAATCCGCTGTTATAGCTATGCCGGAAAGATAAATCCGCATTATTTCAAAGTACGTTGCTTCGCCTGTGACGCAGAGGATTGATAGGGCATTTTGTTGATGGCCAGACCCGTATGCTTGGTCAGTCATAGCCCCATATATATATATCTCGTAAGACTGGGGAGTGTCAATCAGGCATGATGAGAGTTTACGAAGCAGTTTTTGATCCATTTGAATATTGTGTTAATTAGCCGTAACGAATAGGAGTGACGTTGCACTCTCTCGAAGCGTCCAAGTAAACACCGTTTGTCGCAAAACAAGGAAGTAAAGATCTCAAACATGATCGCGTCATTCGAAGACGCTTACTGAATGATTTGTTTTTCATTTTTACTTTTAAAAGCTTTCCCGGTAAAAAGCTCGAGGTCTTAGGTAAATTCGATGCTTTGTTTAGCCCCTGCTTGCTACTGTGTTTTCTAGGAAACGTACTTCCGATTGCCCTAGACATGCGTGACACGTGTGCAAAGTCGTAGCTTTGATTCCCATTGGAGCATTCACCTATCTTCGTGCTTGTAACTGGCTTGCATAACGTGGTGACTTCAGGAAGTTGAAAAACTGAAAAGGCATACGTTGTCGCAGGCTTCCGGCTTTACGATCGAACTTACTGATCCTTTAACGTTATGACTATAAAATAGTTTGTGAACTCGCTGAGATGTTTCTTATGTCTTCTTTACGACCTATTCTCCCTTAGGTTCTAGAGGCGTTTGTTTATGGTAGTTCTGGTTGTTCTACTTAGTGTTTCGCCTGTACCCTAGACTTTTGCTATCTTATTAGCCTTGTTGGATCCGTGGGGCCCTCCTTCTGGCGGTCCGCGATGCTCAACAGGAAGACATTATCTTTTTTATGAGTAGTATAACCTTGAATTACTAGCTTTAAATAATGGCGGCCTCCAATCAGTTTGTGAGTGTGGAACCATCACAAAGTGCAGTAGATGCAAACCGTGTTTAACTCTCACAAAAATAGTCCTCGTTTGGTACGCAATGTGGGTGTATGCGAGCTTCAAACCTATTCAGTTTGGATCGATAAATCCACACGCGATTTTCCAGCGACCATCCCAGGATTAGGCCTGATTTTCGAAACTAATAGAATCGGCTACTCATCAAGGCCCTGGCTCAAGATTCGTAGATACAGCAAGGCATATCTAAGAGTTGCACGATGTGAGATCTAAAATTCTTCAAACAAAATAACGCGTTATCTCTAGTTCTACTATTTTCTGACTGCAACAAATGACTCTACTTTACCGCGTTTCTTTTTTTTATCAAGTAGTCCCGTGGTACTAAAGTTATAGTTCGACTTAAA